TCCAGGCAAGTTCCTGGTTCTGAGAACATGGGGTTGGGTCATGACCATTATTGACACATTTGACCATGTTTATTCCTCGAGGGGGGGGAGAGGGGTGTTTGAAATTGCCCTCAAGCCCCTGAGTTGCTTCTCACAGTCACTTGCCAATAGGGGTTTTGTTATTTCTAGTTGCCCCCTGCCCTCCCCCCCCATTGGTCACAAGTTGATCACTGTTGACCTGAGTTGGGTGAGTCACAGCTGGACACTGAGTGTGTTAGCCTAGGTATCTGGTGGGGCAGGGGAGGGGCAGCGGAGGGAACCAGCAGAGCTTTGGAGAGGGGGGCAGTGAGAAGCCCAGGGCTGGGATTAGCCAGGGCCTGTGGGTCAGGATTGAGGATATCAGCAGAGCCGCGAGAGGAGCTGAGAACTCAGCTAGCAGGGGGCTGCAGGTCAGGATTGAGGGACATCGGCAGAGTAGGGGGAGCTGGGATAGCTGGTGGCTGTGGGTTAGTAGCGAGTAGGTGTCTGGTGAATTTTTTCCTGGAGCTAATTTCATTTATCCCCATCCTGTTTGTTCTCCTGTTGATGCAAACAAGCCACAAACAGTGGACAACAGGCAGTGAGCCCCCATAACTCCTTTGCAGTGCCTCACTGACCGAGCACACCTGCCAGACTGGGCCCCACTCAAAATCTGGCTGCTGGAGATGGTGCTGGGGCTACGCACCTCTATAGCCTTTAGCCCAGAGTTTAAAACCACTCCTCCAGGATGCGGGAAACCCAGGATCAATTCCCCCCTCTGCCACAATGGGAGAATTTGAACTTACCCCTCAGGGGAGGGCGCTAACCCCTGAGCTATGGGACAGTCTGGTGTGGGGTAGGGTGACCAGATGTCCTGATTTTATAGGGACAGTCCCGATTTTGGGGTCTTTTTCTTATATAGGCTCCTATTACCCCCCACCCCCATCCTGATTTTTCACATTTGCTGTCTGGTCACCCTAGTGTGGGGCTCCCTCAATCTGTCCTTTTGCAGCTGTTCCACTGGGTAGAAACACTCAAACCGTTCTTAAGCAAGGGAGAAAATGACCCTGTAGCCTGGTGGTTTGAGCACTCACAGAGGAGGTGGGAGACCCAGCATCCGATTCCTTCCACGCCCCTTGCACTTATCAGTAGTATTTTCTCATTTATGAGGACTGGCTGCCCTCGTGAGTCCGTTTCGAAGTACTACAGGCCCACGAAAGGGAAAGTCATGATAGGAGGAGTTAAAGGGTTACTGGGATTTATTCATGTCAATTCAAACCGCCTTGGTAGGATGTTGCAATCACTTTGCTGTACGTTGAAATGACTCCAGGAGGCACAAACCAGTGGGGAATGACCTCCAGAGTGTGAAGGGATCTTACTTTACAATTTCCACTCTAGGGGATGGAAATTAATAGCAGGAGTGTGGGAACGGGAGTTGGGTGTTTACAGTTATAGTTCCGACTGTATAGTAGCCTGGAGCAAATCTATTAGCCTCTCTCTCTCTTAATCCGGGCAGTTGATTTCCCAGCACTTGATCTTTGCACTTGTAACCCTTGATTAGCACTTATAAACTTGAGATCTTCAGCTGAAGGGCTTCAGAAAAGGCAAGATATCACTGAGGTGAGGCATTATCACCCTATTAGAGTGCTGTGTACGAGAGGGTGATATGCGCATCACAGGGCTGAAACAAACTTAGCATCACAATACCGACAAACTACACGCTAGCACCCCGTAGGGTGTGGCATTGTGAACGGTCCCCTAGGGGATTCTGTAACGGCACATCCGTACTATTGAAATCATCTGTCAAATCAAATCTTGAGTGAGCACAGCACGTAGTTGATTGCGAATTTAACACACTGTGCATAAAACGTGTAAGCGATTAAGGGCACTTCCAGCACCGTTTTAGGAATATTTACTACAGAATTGTGCATCTACATACTTGCTCATTCTGTGAAATATTTACTCAAAGCGCAAACTAACCCCTTTAACCTCCGTATTAGATTGTTGAGGGGAAGGAGAGAGAGAAAGAGGGGAGGGGCGGGTAGCAGACTTCACTCTGAGTCTGATCTCTATGGCAGTGTTTTAGAGACCAATCCCCGCTCTCCCTACAAAGAAAAGTTGCTTAATTTTCACTGTCCGTGCATTTAAAAAAAAAGAAATAAATTTAACAAAAAGACGTAAGACAGGGGACACTGTCGCACGTTAAAAACGAAAGTTACTCCCCTTTAGTTTTACATAACGGAACCTCTTAACTACTTGATCATAAGGACAAATTGTTTAATCCGATTTGAAGTCGTTTCGGGCTCGGGCGCCGCCATCACGTGGATCCGCATTAACCGCCTTCAGGCTCTTGCCCCGCGCAGGCATCGCACGAGGTGAACATCGCTGGATGCGACAGTGACTCTTTTCGCGTGCAGAGCGCATAACTTCCAGTCCTCGCACAACTGCACCAGATAAGCTTCCGTGGCTTCCTGCAAGGCTAGATAGGTGGGAAGCTGGACACGCAGGCGGTTCCCCCCAGCGCTCTGAATGACCATCTTGCTCAGGCGCTGAAAAGACTGTTTAGGAAGCAACAACTCGGTAGATTTCCGAGATCCTCGGCTCTGCCAGAGCACTGCAGTCTGAAAACGATCATGGGGGAGTTTCTTCACCTTCTCTGGTGTATAGGAATAGGCACTTGTTCGACCCTTTTTTCCTAGTTGCTTACTCCACTGGGCTCTCCGCAGGGATAGCTTAGACACTAACTGCTTTGCCCTAACCATAGAGAAAGAGCGGGGAGGGAAAACCACAGCAGCACTTCTTTAGTCACCTTTCTGTACCGTTCAGTGAAGAAAAGCAACAGACTACTAGCTGCTAGGGGATCCTTATATAGGCACGAGTGAGCGCTGATTGGCTCACAAGGAAAGGCAGGCTCTGATAGGACGACAAGGAGTCCAAGACTCTGGTTGGAGGAAAAACAAGCCTTTTTTTAAAGCGACCACCTGCAAATGCAGCCACGGCAGGAAACAGGCAAGGGAGATGAACCTTTTCCTCTTCCCTCAAAAGAAACGATTAGAAAAAATGAACAGATTTCATTCTGATCTGAGAATCAGTGACAGGAATATTGTAAATCTTTTGTGTGTGTCCCATTATGTTAGAGAGAAAAAATAAGCGTGAAAGGGAAAATATACCGTAGAAAAAGACTCCCAATCTATTGAAGCAGAATTATTATAAACTGGCCAGAAATTAGGATTAAATAACGTATAGGGACAGATTTTGCATAGGTTTCTCCTTTCTTTTCTCCACTCCCTAGACTTTTCCTCATCTTTGAAGTGCAATACCCTAACATTGTAACGGGCCTCAAGAGCTCGATCCTTCTCCCATGTAAATCAAGGGTGAAGCTCTAATTAACTTGTGTGGAACAGGATCCAGGCCTAACACTACTCCAGGAAGAAGGAAAACAAGCTCCACTTTACTACCGCAGAATCCTATTTTCAAATACCTGACCTGCCTTTAAAAAAATGTTCTGAAGTATTTACAATCTGGGGAAGCTTTGCCAGAAGGAGAATAAGTCCCTTTGATTCCTGGAGCCATTATAGCCATCTTTCAAATGTCATAAGAGAAACCTCTCCTTTCACTCCATTTGGCTCTAATTATTTATTTCAAACTAGTTTAGAAGGGACGTGTAAGGGTCGAGTTCATGGGGTTGTTATTAAACTGTAAATGATAAGACACAATATACAGGAAAACCAGCTTCTGAAGTAAGCACCGAAAATAACTCTTGACAGACCCTCAAACTGCTCTTCCACCAATAGAAACAACCAACAAACCCAATCTGAAACAGACCCTTGCAATCCT